TTTCCCTAATTTCTTGCAACCTTTTATGTTATGGCTATTGCAGTTCCATAGATATTGAATATAAATGCAAATCCAGCAAGTTTTCTTCTTTTTTCAATATTATTTTTGAACTGTTATTGTTCACACTTCAGTTATTTAATAAAAGAAAATGATAAAGCTTGCCTTTTGGAATTGATATTGAATTTTTTACTGAACTTAAAAATCAGGACAATTGTTTCATTTTGTTTTAGTGATGTTTTTACCTGTAATCAAATTTCTTTGTATTATTACTAAGTCATAGGAGGTTCATAAACTTCATATGGGTTAATAATTCAAAGAGATTGCCATCTTGGTTCTCTAGGTGACCCTGCTTGAGCAAGGAGGTTGGACAAGAGGATCTAGTCTTTAATTGGATTTTTCAGTATGTCATTTTTTTTAGCAGAGGGCAAAAAATTCATTTTAATATATCTCAAGCAAGTCTAGCAGCTTGAAATCTAGTAAATTTTTAATGATGTAATATCACAAAAAATTATAGAGCTGTATATTATCTAGATCATATGTTTACAGAGTATTAAGCGATAGGTTTGATATTTGTTTTGGCAAAGTGGTTTGCTAATCTTTCCTTCCTTAAATCTCTGTAGTCATAATCTTGATATTTGGAAGTCTTCAGATCTCGAATGCCTTTAGATAATCACCAAGAGAGATTGCCTTTAGATAATCACCAAGAGAGATTACTCTTTCTTTACGATTTATTGTCTCAATTCCATGATGTGCTTTCTTTCTATGCAATGTTGTAGTCTAAGTGAATGATACTTTTGATAGTAAAAGACAACTGCTGAACGTTTATTACCATCAAAGCATAGCTGTATCACATGCATAGGCCAGTGAGAAGTATATATCAGGAAACATAAGAAATAAAACCAGCAGAAATGCCTCAGTGTTCAGACCAGTGTTTCAACTCATCTGTTCTGCTCTTCAGTTTCAAGGATACAAAAACTTGAAAGATTGAAGAAAAGAGAGAGTGCAGAAAACACAAATTACTTCCTTATAAATTCCCTTTCTTAAAGATGTGAAAAAGAGGCATATCTTGAGTAAACACAAATTGCTTTCATTAGAAATCAAAATTAGAAAATGTAAAATGAATAAACCTTAAATGAATAAATATAAAAACTTTTAAAATAACTGAGATTGTACAGTAATATATGAATGTATTTAAAACAAATAAATTAATTGAAAAATTATTTACAAATGCATTTATCATGTTTACAGGAAATAGCTTCTTCCTTTTACGCTTTATAGCAGTAAAGTGTAAAGTGTTTATTGGTGCTGTCATCTGGCAGAAGACATGCTGTTTGGTGCATCTAGCAAGTTAAAAACAAGTCAACTGTCACAGAGGTTGTTATGTTCCCATATAGAAGAATATGTTTATTGAAGAGTCAAACCCACTGCAGTCTTTTTTTGTTGTTATTTGGGATAAACTGGCTTTCAGAAACAAGAAGCACATTTCAGTTGTTCTCAAATGCTCTGTTGTTTACAACAGAAGACGAATATTTGCTCTTCGTCATTCTTTTTATAACCTCAACACGGACTACTGAATTCCTAGTTAAAAAGTTGCAGAATAGAAAAAGTCATATGAGTAGGTTACATGGCTAAAGGCATGTATTCTATTTTACCAAAGAAGTGATTTATGGCTGCAGCAGAATGCATCAAATTGTTGTACTAATAAGGTGAAACCCTGTACCTTGTATTGATTTAAGAATTTTTCCAGAACAGGCTTAGAATTTCACAAAATGCCAAAAGTTATTGTGGAAGGGAAGTTATCACATGTGCAAATAGAACTGATCTGCAAGATCAGTCTTTTGCCCTCATTTCTTTATTTCACCTTTCAGAGAACACTACTCAGAATAGCAGTAATTTCTTCCAAAACACCTATATTATTCTTGGAAATGAAGGGGAAAAAAGTACAACTCCATGCTTAATAGCATTGCATATGAATCATTATATAACCTCTTAAACTAATACAGTATCTTTCATCCACAGAAACAGGTTTGCATGAAATATACATAATAACAGTTACTGTACTGAAAAAGTGCAAGCTTGATTAGGGTAAGAAAGCTTTATATTTTAGACTGAATCATTTCAGAAGTTTTACAAATGCGTTTTTAATACTTTGAAGCAAAAGGTATGAATGAAAGAGTCTGAAGAAACAAATAAAAAATGAGTCACAGCTGAGAACATAAGCTGATGCTGTATGAGTCCTTAAGCTCTTTATTCACCTCTAAATGTACATAACATCATTAGTGTGCCTGAGTCCTCCACGCATGAGTAACTTTCTTGGAAACTCTGCCTGTTGAGAGATCGTATTCTTTTGCCTCAACTCATGGACTATTGTGTGTGAGGCTACATCATTCAGCACAGCTTCCTATATCCTCTTCATTTCAGCCACTGAAACTGCGGTACTGTTTTCTGATTCCTTTGCCCATCTTCTCTTCTTATCTCCTCAGAGGAGTATATTTTTTATAAAGCATTCTTTGTTTTTAGTTTTGCTTTTTGGTGAAAAATAGTTCTTATAATAAGGATTTCATAACAAAATGTACTTTCTTGGTTGCCTACAGAAAAACTCAGTAAGCTGGTATATTTGAAGGAATGCCTCTGTTAAAGATCTAAATTTCTCATTTCTCATTCTCATAACCTGTATATAAGATGCCAGGAAAGCAACAGAACAGGTTTTTCTTGATTTCATCATATTTGATATACCAGAAACAGACAAACTTTTCACTACTGTGTTTTAGAAAATCAAAGAATAAAATTGGTATTATTTATTTGAATAGCTTCATGACAATAACTGTTTGTATGGACTGCAGTTTGCCTGAGGGATAGTTCCAGCTTACAGATTTACCTGACAGGGTCTTTGTACCGTCTGATTCTAGAACAGCTTTATAGGTATGAAACAACTATTTAAAGACACTAGTCAATGCAAAAAAAAAAAAAAAAAGGGCTTTTCATAATGTTGCAATACATGGCTATTCTATTGTTTTGTTAGCAAACCCATCTGTATTACTGTGTTCTCACTCAACACGTAAGTTAACTGAGAGTACATTTAATTTGAGCACATAAACATATATTATCCATTGTTCTTTTTTTTTTTGATGATCCTGTTAAAGGAAATTACCTAAATAGCAGTAATCAGATGCATATTGTATCCTTTCACTGGGAGCAGTGGCTAAATAAGAGTATGTCAGAAATATTACTGGCTCTGCATCTCAGGCGAAAGTCCAAGGCTCCACAAGTCTTCCTTATATGAGAGATATTCTTAATATCTTTGTGCACTGTTAACATTAACTTATTTTTTGGATACCTTCTTCAGAGCAGCAAAAAAGAATCTTCCTAACAGTTTCATTCTCCTTTAGGAAAAGTAGGTAGTAATCATGCTTAAAGCGTACCAGATAGGCAGCTTCATCGTCAGATGATGTCTACCTTATCTCAGTCAATGGCAAGGTAAATTCTTTTCATGCACTTCCGTGTGGGACTATTTCCAGGCATAAGAAGTTGTTTCATACACTTTCATCTCTCAACTGAAATTGCTAACAAATGTCAGTGGTTAACAGCAACTTTGTGATGGCAAATGTCATATGAATGTATGCCACTAGATGGTAGTGTGACATAGAATCTTGGGGATGACTGGCACAGCTAGTCAGAAATGTTGGAGAGGGAAGGTAACAACAATTTATAGGATATATAACGTTGCATCAACAGTCTGTTCCAAGGGAAATTTTCTTATCAGCACTGCTGAATAAGCAGCTATATCTTAAAAATACTTACAGTTAGTTGCAATGTAGTTCTTTTTAGAAATAAAAAAGTGAAAATGAGTTTCTCAGTGCCACCTGAGAGATTCCTTATTTGTTGAAGTGCATAAGGCACTGACTGACCGCTCTGACGTGTTTGCAGCTGTTTCTGTAGATTTTAAGTCTCTTTATTCTAAAGAAAGAACAACAAGGAGTAAAAATATGCCCTTGTGGCAGAGAAGGCCTATGGTATCCTGGGCTGCATTAGGAGGAACATCACCAGCAGGTTGAGAGAAGCAATCCTTCCACTCTACTAAGCCCTGGTGAGACCACATGCAGAGTGCTGTGTCCAGTGCTAGGCTCCCCAGTACAAGAGAGACATAAACATACTGAAACGAATCCAACAAAGGACTACAGAGATGATATAATAAACTGGAGCATCTATCCTACAAGGAGATGCTGAAAGAGCTGGGATTGCTCAGCCTGCAGAAGGAAAGGTTCAGGTAAGATCATATCAATCTGTATAAATCTCTAATAGGAAGCAGTAACGAATATGGAGCTAGACTCTTCTTAGCATTGTCCATTGAAAGGACAGGAGGCAATGGGCACAATCTGAAACACTGAAAATTCCATCTGAACATAAGAGAACACTTTTTCACTGTGAGAGTGATTGAACACTGGAACTGGTTGTGGAGTCGCCATCCTTGGAAATATTCAAAACCCAGCTGGACATAAACCTAAGGAACCTGCCTTGAGGAGAGGTGTTGGACAAGACCATCTCCAGAGGTGCCTGAGGTGCCAATTCTCCCAGAATTTGGAATATTACCAAGTTACAATTTAGAGGAAAGAAACTTAAAACAAAGATGACTGACTAAAGACAGAAGTCTCTGGAAGTGTAGAGAAAGAAAGAGTATGAGAGGGTATGTGTGAGTGTATGTGTGTGTGTGTGTGTGAGAGAGAGAGAGAGAGAGAGAGAGCATGTGTGCACTTTCTCACATGAATGAAGTGAGAACTGTACTTGTCCTTAAGTGTTACGGTGAGTGGAATCAAGGTCCCTATTGTCAGGTTTGGACGTGCTTGCTTTCTTTCCTTTCTCTTTCCTACTTCTCTCTCTGTGTCTTGCTATGTGCAGAATGCATACTCATAGGAAAAGCTTAGATTTGTTCTTAAGGAGTCCCTTTAGATGTACATGTGTTAATCAAAAGGGACTCTTTGCATAA